ACCTTTCTTAGATTTGTTCATTTCGTGATGATATCTTCAATTCTCTAATTTTGGTGAATATTTTGGTCATTTTTGGTAGAAAGTGATATTTTCGACTTCTTGTTAAAAACTGTAAGTCCGATTGCTTTGATACTATACATATTGTTCATTTTCTAATGATGTCTTCAGTTCTTTAATTGAAATGTGCATTGCTAACAGCGGAGCTATCTCAGCCGATAGGCTGCTTGTTTAAACTGCAAATAGGCTTTGTTTTTTAATGTGAAAATCATTAACAAATGTAGTAGAAAATGGAATAAATTGGGGAATTCAAGATGCAATTTGTCTCTGTCAGTTGTGAAACAATTAGTCAGATATCATGTACAAGAACTTACTCTACAAGGTGCTGTCATTCTCTCCTCTATAATATCTACACGGTGGACAACTTATGGGTCCTCCTCCATTTGCCTTCTTGTCGCTCTTTTCTCATCAGCAGCATTCTTTAAATCATGAAGTAACCATCTGATTGGGGCCTCATCTGGTACCTTAAATGAATTAAAGACACATTTCACACTTGATATACTGCTTAGTAGCTTGTGGCCATGTGACAATGAGTATTAATTGCTTAGTTCTTTGAAATATAGCTGCAAAGCAGTAATTATCATTAATACTATCAGATTAAAGCATTATTGGATCCTTGCTGTAGTTGACAAAGCACACTTTTAGTATAAAAGGAAGTCTTTGACACAAATACAGTAGGTTTATATTAATATTCAGCTACCTTCTCTAAATCTTTAATATTATGCAAATATTCATTCCACCATTGAGATGCAGATGCTGGCATACGCAGACAACATGAATAGGGAAGATCTCGTTTCAAGCTCTCTATGTCCAGTTTCTCTATAGATGGCAGAACATAGGCTGGAACATCATCTAATTCTGGAACACTCTGAAAAAGTATTTTGTGAATGGATACAAATAAATACACTGACAATTAAAAAGATAACACATTATTCGCTATTGTGCCCCAACTAAGCTATGGCACTAACACACCTCCACATCTTGGGTATATTGTGTTTGTTACTGTTATGGAAAGCGACAACATTATGATTTGCTAGTTTATAAATAACAATAAAATATTAATCATCTCTATTGTTATGGAAATTAAGTGTTGTTGTTTATCTGAAATTATAAGAAACCACAACTTAATAATACTCTGGGAGAACCCTGTTATTTTTTTAGTGTATAATGCTAACGAGAAGATAAAGCCTATTGCCTATAGGTGTTATTTTTACTACGCTGTGTCTAATCAATATGTTGTTCAGAATTATGGAAATTATATCTTGTGTTATTATACCTCATGACCATTACATTAATCAGATCCAGTCTTTAAAATTAATGTCAACCTGTTATTTCCATATTTCTCGCATCCAGACCTTCATCTAGGATTTACACCAACAACTGGTCAATGATCTCTGATTGATAAATGCTTCACTGGTTGATTTATGTTATTGAAGATAACCCATTTTAGTGAGTTTGCATGATTTTGTTTAGTACAAAATCTCATGAATAAAAAATAGCACCATGGCTAATTTGCATAAATTTGCTAAAAACAGTCATCATAAAGTAAAAGCGTCATTCCAGGATTTTTAAAATATTTAATAGCCACTATAATGTGGTCATCATACCTGCAAACACTTTAGCCCTGGTACTTGCTGTCCATTCACGTCCATGTGAGATGGTTCCCATGGGTTTGTCGACCACTGTCGGTACTGCATAAAAGTTGTCCCATCCATCTTATAAAATCGAAAATTAAGTGGTTTGGAATGTCCCTGTATTCGATCAGATATATGAGGAATGAGCCACTCCTTGATGTTGATAATGGGCTTCTGTTGCAAGCTTCGAAAACAAACTGTTGGTGTGTATGCTCGCATTATAAGACTTTCAAGGTCTAGAAAATAGAAAATAAAAGAATATTGTGTTAACATATTTTTTGTATTGCACCACTCATAGAAAATCTAAAGGCTTGCGTGTATAAAAGGGATAGCGATTTTAAAGCCCCTTGTAGGGTGTATTATAAAAAAGTGGCATGTGGGCTATATTGTGATAACTCAATAATTTCAGTCAGGTAAAATTAATTATTTTGTGGATAGGATTCTCAAAAAGCCTATTTTAAAGCATGTGGATATTGAAAATAAATTTTCACAAATATCTCAACAAGCGACCTCATGATCGAAATAGCTTCGCTGTCCTTATTGAAGATGTAACAAAACAAATTTAGACAGTCCCAACAATGACAAACCATAACACATACCGGTACACAAGAAGCAAATTTGAAGAAATTAGTTACAATCTGAGGGAGATCCACCCAAGGTACCTACATACAAAATTTTAAAGCATCTGGAGAAGTCACAATATCAATTTTGACCAAAAATCACAAAAATATTCAGCAAAAATCTAAAATTTGAAATTTTGACACAAAATAATCAAACCTGAGAGAGATCTACCCATAGTGCCTACATACCAAATTAGAAATCATTCAAAGTTACGGTTTCATAGAGAAAGTAAAAAATATAAGTTTTGACCCAAATCACACAAATAGTTAGCAAAAATCCAAAATTTTTGATTTTGACACGAAATGAACAAATTTGAGAGAAATCACCCAAGGTGCCTACATACCAAATTAGAAAGCATTGGGAGTTGCAGCTTTCAAGAAGAAGTCAATTATATAAATTGTGGACGGACGGACACCGACGGACAATCACCTATATGACTAGCTCTGCTCGTTCATCTACATAAATTATATTTAACACAGTTAAACTGCATTCAGATTATACATTTATGAATAAGGTAACCATCAGAAGATATATTCATAACTTCAATGCACAGTAAATTTACAACACAGCTATACAATAACATGCATGTATTGTTTTAAAATGACCCATACAGTCATTCAGTGCCCTCTGTCACCCGGAAACAATACACTTTGCGATAATTCCAGCATAATTTCCAAGGGATACAAATGAATCTTCACCAAACATAACAAAATTACTCACCATTTAATGTGTATGTGTTGGCTTTGTTCAGTTCTGTTGCTACCTTCGAAAACAGCTGATCAACATTTTCATGTGTATGCCCGACTGGCAGGAAGTTCAGTAATACCTTTATGAGTAAAAGAAGATACAATCATGTAATCTATTTACATCCTATTATCTATGTGAAAACAGGGTCGGGAAGGAGAAGGAGTAATTTCGGATAACTGTGGTTACATAATAAAAATTACCACAAACCAGCAGCTATATTATCAGGTTATATTATAAGGTTATCCCCTGATATCACTTGATCATAGAGCTGGATGATACTAGTGACAGCATGGGCTTGTATAATCCACAAACCGAAGGTTAGTGGATTATACAGTCCATGACACCACAAGTATCAACCAGCTCTATGAACAACTGATAAGAGATCATAACCTTTTTATCCCAAAACTAACAGCAATTGTCAAACAAAGCTTAGGAAGCTCTGCAAGACTAGCCTGGATTAATTAACATCGCATTGGTTAATTCTCCTTTTTTGAACGGTCAATTATATGTAACAGTATATGTAAAGAGAGTATGTAATGCACACACACACACACACACACACACACACACACACAAATATATAATGTGTTTCTGTAATATGATAAAATAAAAATTTGGCAGCCTTTCAGCACCATCCCATATCAGCAGTGATATGAATGATATGCAGCATAGTCATGTGATAATGTATACTATTTCCAATGCAATCATATGGGCACAGTTTGATATTAGATCTACTCCGAACCAGTCTGCCTTTTATTGCATTGTACGTTTTCACTGATTATTATGCTATGAGTTTTTTTGAGTGCCATCGTATGTTTGAAGGCAAAAAACAACAACACATGTACATCAAACACCTAAAATCATTAGCAGAAATATTCATGGAGATGTGTTTGAATTTGGCCTCCAAATATTGTAAATGACAAATTTCTCGGCACACCTCGCCATCAGATGAGACTGGCTAAGGACAGATTAGCATACTAATTTGACTGCTATCTTATCCTAAATATGTATACTATTGTTCCTGATGCCTACATTTATAAAAAAACAAACAAGTAATATCTATTGGCAATGGGCAAAATCATACCTCATCAAAAATATCCATATCGACCATCAACTCCAACAGCGATAAAAGAAATCTGTTCTTATTTACAGTTGTCTAATTAGAGGTACAATGTCTTCGCAAGATGGTGCTTGACTTCCAGCAGTATAGATAATAGTACGTTCATTGTCAGGTTAGAATCATGTGGTATCTGGTTGACATCAACATAAGTAAAAGGTATCTTGCCACCAGGTACACCAGTATATACAATTGCCCCTGAAAAAATACATTATGTCATACAGTGTATCTTTCAAATGATTGTGAAAACAATCTTATGGTTGGAATGGTATTATCATATACCTCGTATTGCCCAGCGTCGTAACACTATGAGAATTGCGCCCTCACATCAGGGTAATAATTTTCCATATCAGGCCCGCTTGACCATAGTTTGATGAGCGCGTCCTATTTGGAAGCAATCATTACTCGTGAAATCACCATGTAGTGTCTTACCATTGTATTAGAGGCAATTAAACTCTCTGGGTAAACAACAGTTTTATGTGATCATGACAGGCAAAAGACAAAAAAAAATGTTTTCAATAAAATTTTCTTTTACAATTATGTCAAAACTATTTTGTAGCTAAAAGCTAAAGCTTCATCAGGGGGCATTTCTCAGACACTTTAAGGAAGTGTTAGTTACATACCTGTAAAATGAGTTCTTAGCTTGAAGATTTTACTTGCGCTTTTATCATCTTGATAGAAATTTGGCAAATCAGTTTTATTCTGATCCATGCCATCTATTATGATTGTCAGGATCTCCTCTGGTTCCTTTTCAGCTTTTTCCCTATGGTAATGGTAGCGCTTCCTTTCTAGTCTTAAAATAAAGTAAAAACACATTGCAGTCACTGTCAGTTTTGAATAAGTACACACAAATGCCAAATGATGTAAAGAAAATTAGGTATTTTCTTTATTACAAGCACATGCACTTATGTGACTAATCTGTAAAAATGCTAACCACTTATAATCAGAGAGCAAATAAGGTAGTCATGCACATATGTGCCAAGTTTAAATTAGTATTGATCAATACGTGGAGCAAAAAAGACTGCTAACAGAGGGGTTTAAAATCATATTCTTTTCATCCTAAACTAATGCAAATTCTGTGGTTCTTTGGGCAGTTGCTGTGAGTACAATCAGCTATATTTTTTCCAATGCATGTTAATTAGTTAGAGAACACTTTAGAGTTGTAAATTCCCATGTTCAAACCTCAATGGTTAAAAAAAAAATTGTCAATTGTTATTTACATTTCTTTATCCTAATAGGGGCAAACACTATAATTCTCTGGGGAGAACCCTGCAACACAGTAAACAATTTATAAATACTCACTCTACTTGATCCATGTGGATTTTGATGAGATGTTTAATCCTTGTCCTTTCATGGTCAATTCTCCCATCTGGGTACAGAATGAACACTTCACAAAACCATTGCTCTGATAAACAAGCAGCCTCCCGGCTGAGATAGCTCCGCTGTTAGCAATGCACATTTCAATTAAAGAACAGAAGACATCATTAGAAAATGAACAATATGCATAGTATCAATGCAATGGGACTTGCTGTTTTCAACAAGAATTCAAAAATATCACTTTTCACCAAAAATGACAAAAATATTCATCAAAATTGGAGAATTGAAGATATCATTATACAAATGAACAAATTTGAGAGTGGTCCACATGTAGTACCTATATATATTTATCAAAGCAATTGGACTTGCGATTTTTAACAAGAAGTCAAAAATATCAGTTTTTATCAAAAATGACAAAAATATTCACCAAAATTAGAGAATTGTAGATATCATTATACAAATGAACAAATTTGAGAGTGGTCCACATGTAGTACCTATATATGTAATATCAATGCAATGGGACTTGCTGTTTTCAACAAGAATTCAAAATTATAACTTTTCACCAAAAATGACAAAAATATTCATCAAAATTGGAGAATTGAATATATCATTATACAAATGAACAAATTTGAGAGTGGTCCACATGTAGTACCTATATATGTAATATCAAATTCAAAGCAATTGGACTTGCGGTTTTTAACAACATGTTGAAAATATCACTTTTTACCCAAAATGACAAAAATATTCATCAAAATTAGAGAATTGTAGATATCATTACAAAATGAACAAATCTGAGAGAGATCCACATGTAGTACTTATGTATGTAATATCAAAGCAATTGGAATTACAGTTTTTAACAAGAAGTCGAAAATATCACTTTTTACCAAAAATGACAAAAATATTCACCAAAAATTAGAGAATTGTAGATATCATTACAAAATGAACAAATCTGAGAGAGATCCACATGTAGTACCTATGTATGTAATATCAAAGCAATTGGAATTACGGTTTTTAACAAGAAGTCGAAAATATCACTTTTTACCAAAAATGACAAAAATATTCACCAAAATTAGAGAATTAAAGATATCATTACAAAATGAACAAATCTGAAAGAGATCCACATGTAGTACCTGTATATGTAATATCAAAGCAATAGGACTTGCGATTTTTAACAAGAAGTCGAAAATATCACTTTTTACCAAAAATGACAAAAATATTCACCAAAATTAGAGAATTGAAGATATCATGAAATGAACAAATCTGAGAGAGGTCTACCCAAGGCACATATACACCAAGTATCAAAGCATTCAGGCTTGTAGTTTTCAAGAAGAAGTCACAAATATAAAACATTGACACGGATGACGGACGCCGACGGACAATCACTCATATGATAAGCTCCGCTCGACAAAGTCGACAGCGGAGCTAAAAAAAAAAGAACATTATACACATGATTGTCATAACAAGACATAAAAAATATCAGTCTCCATTAAAAGTCAACAGTTTTGTATGATAGGGAGACTGGTAATTAGAATATATTGTGGTTGTTCGTGTATCTGTTTTTCCAGAATAAATAAATAAAAGAACACTGATAAAGTTCTAATGAACACAAGGGAGGAAACACAGGCCAGACAACTTGTCAAGCTCCAGAAACTTTAGCTTTGAAAAACAAATTTAGTTATGTGACTGTCACAAGTGTCTAAATTGCAACTGAATCCAAGATAGAAAGTAAAAACAAATTACAGTATGTTGTTTTTATTAGTATACACAAACCCAGAATCTAGTTCCAGTCCCTGTTAGTTCAATTCAGATGTATTCTGGGTAATGACTCTTAAGACCAAATAAAAAAAATGTGTGGTTCCTATAACAGGCTTTTCAAAAATAGGGTAGGTAGGGTAAGGATTTTTTTTTTTTCATTTTTCGATATATTTGTTCTTGGTTATAACTGTGTTACATTGTTTTTTCTTGCATATAAAGACTGTTTTGCAGATATTAGTGTCATAAATCATGTTCAAAGTTGTTCACACTTCATTCAAAGCCTGGTGATTTTTGTGATGGTTTCTCAAATATCACCAAAAATAGTTTAGGGTCGGATAGTAAAAATTGGGTAGGTCGGGTTATAGGAACCATATAATTTATTTCTCTTGGTCTTAATAGAACAACTAAAAATATGAAGAACAGATTGCACATGTCTAGAAAGGTAGATCTGATGGCGCTAAAAAAAGGAAAGTGAACTTTCTTTGATTCTATTGTTATGATGACTTCCATCAACAAATATTCAAATTAGCAATTTGCATTCATTAATTGTCACTACACCAAATCTAAACAAACAACAGGAAGTCTGACAGTCCCAGTGACAATGTATAAAAATTTAACCATGATTCAACTAAAGACACTAGAAAATACATATTTCTAGAAAACTATAAAACACATATTTCTAGTGTGTTTGATTCAATTTACTTTTAAAAAAGCATGGTGTCTGATACATATATAGGACTAAATCAGTTCACTATCCGTTTTTAGCTCCATGATCTGATAGAGGATTCCCTACCTTGTTAATTATGAACTCTGCGAGATGGAGCTTTCATACTGTACAAAAATAATCATAGCATATTACATGATTCTCTGTCATTCCCCGCTCAATAAATTCCCTTCTCATTCTTTCATGAAGGGATTTCTTAGTATAACAACATGGCAGATGTATAACTTCTTTATCTGGCATATAGTCTCTTATTCGCTCAAATAGATGCCGCATCCAGCCTATAGCAGCTGCAGTTTTGTCTCTAAATCCTGTCTTCCCAAGATTATTGTGCATTACAGTTACAATACCTAAAAAAATAAACCACATTATTAGTCTCACGATATCACTTACAACTTATTTTTGACATTTGTTGATTTTTTTTTCAATATTGTTGGACCATGAGGAAATTTACATTCATGTAATCTGTCACATGACCTATTCTTTAAGTCACATCACAACAGGAGGTAAGAAGACAAAGGTCAGAAAACAGCTTGCACTATACAGGAGGAAAAAAATATGCACACATTTTTCTAGCTGCCGAAAATTATACCTCAAAATACCTTGTCCAAACCAGTTACGAGTGCTTATAAGACATTGAACTATCGCAAAATGTTGTCCGATTACATGTAAATCATATATTTTTCCAGATTTTACGCATTTATGACGAAATTTGCCATTTTCTATTCTCTGTGATACCATCCTTCAAGCTATGTCAATCTGCGCATGCGTTCGCGCCCTCAAACGCCAGGACTGCATTTCCTTTCTTTGCTGCCAGAGTTTGAAATTCTCAACTATGCATAATCAAACGCGCTCTCAACTATGCATAATCATTCGAGATAAATCTGAAGCATCCTGTTTGATATTTCAACCAAATCGAGAAAGACAGGTAAGACAATATAGAATTGTGTATAAATGATTATGCATAGTTGAGAATTAATTATTTATGACATTAATATTTCACTCACTGAACAATATTTCACTAAAATTGGCGATTAATAAGCAACTTAAATTGGAAAAAAATTATCAAGTTCCTTGTATAAACACTAGTGTAAAGACACAACGGTGACGACACAACGCACGTCAAACTGCAAAAGGTAAATTTACATGCGCACAGACTTGAATGCGCGAGACATTCAAAGGTCATATTTACATAAGTTAAAAAACGGGCAATACCATTTAATGGCAAGTGACAACTCTACCGGCATAACTAGACCAATCAAGTCTTTCAGTGTGTGCTGTTTTCAGGGATCATTCAATCAACCTCGGCATTCTATATATTTGTATTACATATCATGTATCCACAAAATAGTATTTAAGATAAAAAGTATATTATGCGATGTGCTTCATTCGGAGACCCCTCTACCTACACATAATGGTTTTAGCCCGTGCTTGTAGAACAGGAAAACCAGAAGCTTTCAACAATCGGTGTTTATAGCCCCTTGTTTATTTTATCAGCTTATGATGACAAACATTGCCATCTCTTTGTTATGCCAACACGTGCATCCTTTCAGGGAAGATCTCGATAAATTGCATGATGCATCGCCGTCGTCAATCATTCCAACTTGTGCTCTGTTGCCGTCTCATGTGCCCCATGGTGAAAGACCAGCGGTTAACGACAAGACGCGTGCATGGTGGCTATCCGAAGAAGACAGGGGTGTTTATGATTACCAATCAGAGGGTAAAGGGGCAACACGCAGCGTATTCAAACTTGCAAACAAAAAGACGGGTATACCGTTTGGTGCTGTAAAAAGCTGTTCTGAGTTCGGTCAATCGAAGACTCATAATATTATGGCAAGCTTGCCAGACGACTTGAAAACTGTTCTGTTACAAAAATTATATCAAATTTGAGAGCGACTCTGGAATGTCTATGCATGTTTGTGTATTATAGATAAACTGTCCCAGTGGTGTACGAGCTGTACGTGTTGGTGATGACATAAGCAACTGCCGCCT